ACAGAAAAAAAAAAACAATGCTTATATACAAATTCCATCACAGACATCCTCCTGAAACAAGAGTTGTGATCAACAACTCCTTTATGCTAACATGCTATATTCCCGACCTTGCTCCCATGATGGCCCATCCCTAATTCCCATGACAGAGAGGCCTTTTCCCCCCAATGCCAATGCGCGCATGCTGCCGTATCTTTTATGTGTGTATCTCTTGACTTCTCCCGACCCCAACAAAAAAATCTATGTGATTGATGCTTTCCCCCAATGTCTTGCATGCAGCTGATGTATATATGATGCTTCTTCGTTTTTGTGTGTGCCCACCATCACCAGCCCGTTCCCGCTTCGAAAGTGGAAGAAATAAATGTTTGGAACAGTGGGGGGACGTGTTGCACAAAAGACACAAGAAAAAAGAACCCCGTATTAAAATAGGTACAGTGATGAATCATAGAAATCGTAAACACACACACTTTCGGATCGTCAGGGTGGCGGGCAGAGAAGAAAAAAAAAGAAAAAAAAAGAGAAGAAAAAAGGGGTATCTACCACCGAGACGACCCAAACGGGGCTCCAAAATTGTTGCTCTTCTTGATCTTGAGCGGGATCTCAAAGTCCTCTTCGTCGTCACCGCTCTTGGTGCTGCTGTTGTCCTTCTCGGTGGTGCTAGAGGCCTCGGATGTCTCAGACACGGAGGCGTCGGCCTGGGCCTCGGCCTCCTCGGACGAGTCGGCATCCTTGAGCACAGCCGGCAGGGAAGCCTCGCGGTCCTGAGCTACCTCCTCCAGCTTGTCGGACAATCTGCGAAAAAATATCTCGTCGTGGGCAGGCATGTTGCGCACCATCAACGGGCCTTTTAGACGGACGTCACCCTCGCTGGGCTCATAAACCTGCTCGGGGTGGTCATCCGCCGAGTCGGCATCGGTGAGCTGCTGTGCGATCTCGATAGCCTGCTGTTCCACCTGCACCGCGGCTTCAGCCTGGCCGAACGCACCGTCGCCCTGCTGAATGGTCGGCGTGCTTTCGCCGCTGCTTGTAGCGGTCGCAGCCCCGGATGATGCGACAGTGGTCAGAAGCGACAGGGAGTGACTGGGGGTGTGGCCGGCGTGCATCGTCAGACGGGCCGACTCATGGGCCGCCAAGACCTGCAACGTCTCAACCTTGGCCGCGCGTGGTGCTTTGGCTTCGTCTGATGAGTTTTGTGGGGAAGAAGACCGGCTAGACGCATTCGAACCTTCGACCGATGGACCATCTGTGAAGGTGGGCTTCTGAATGGCAGGCGCCTTGAGCGAAATTCCCTCCAGCTCTGGGATGATCTCCTGGATGTCGACAACCGGCACAGGGGTGCTGCCGTCGGTTTCGGATGCTGTGGCTGAGATGGGCGAAAGGCCGGAGCTTGGGATATGTCCAATGGAAATTCTCTCGGGGAGGGGTTCCAGAACATTCGATGCCGTTCGGAGCTGGGGAAGAGAGCTGTGCTTCAGTGCCGGGCCTGGCGATCCACCCAAGCTTGCCGTGTGGAAAACTGCAAGGTTCTTGGGGGCAGCGGGACCGTTGCTTCGAGACGAGTGGGAGCTCTTCATGCTCTCTGGTGATGCTTCCCAAGCCGCGCCTCCACGCAAGCCACTCACTGACGAGAAAGAGCCTTGGTCCGACAGGACGTTGCCGTTCCGTGGCGAGAGCATGTTGCCAGCACCGCCCAAAAGCTGATTCTGCAGGTGTTCGATTTGCTTGAGGAGGAGCGCCCTCTCAGTTTCCCACTCGGCGCGCTCCTCCTCCATCAATGCGCGCTCCTCCTTGTAGACCTCCTCTGCGCGTTCGCGGTTGGCCTCCATATACTTTCGCTCAGCTTCCCAAGCCTCTCGTATCCGTCCGTTCTGGGTGAGGAGTCGTCGAATCATGGAGGCTTGAGAGGCGCTGCTGTTGGAATCTGAAAGGGAGCGCGGGTGGCCACCGGGGCCGTTAAAGCTCAGTCCATGGATGGAGCCGCCGGTGGAATCCTGGCTGGACCGGGAGTTGTTTTCTTGGCCAGCTGGCGATGCTGTGCTCTGTCGCGCCTGTGGTGGGACGCTGCTGGATCGGTACTGGTCGTTCAAGATGTGCGGTGACAGGAACGACTGCGGGTGTGGACCAGGACCTCGAACACCTGGCGACAGCGGTGAATAGACGTGTGCTTTTGGGTAGCCGTGTATCCTCTGGTCGAAGTAACCGGCAGCACCTCGAGGCAGGGTCAAGGGCGATATGATGGTGGAAGAGGTATCGCTGGAGAGGGTGGTGGGAAAAGACTGGCGCACATCGGATTCCACGGCGCCAGAGGGCCAAAAGGCATCCGAGGGAAGTTTTGTTGCCAAAGTGGCCATGGTTGCTATCCAGATTCGGGTTTTCTTTCTTCTCTTTTTTTTTTTTTTTTTCGTAGGTTCGCAGGCAGTTGACGGGTTGGTGAAGATTAAAAAAAATAAAATAAAAAATAAAAAAGGCGCAATGGATAGCCACCAAAGGGTCCAGAATTGGCAAGGGGGCTCGCGGCTCTTTCTACTCTGGGGTTGATGTCATCCCACGATCTAGGTTCGGACGGTTGTGTACACCTTTTCGACTATGAACTGGGCTAAGGGCCGTTTTGGGTCCTCAGATGATTTGCTGCGGCTGCTCGACTTTTGTGACCTGTTGGCAGCGGGCGCGGCGTGGTTGGCAGGAGTGGAGTTGCGACTGCGACAAGTCGGCATGTGCTTTGGTGCAACTGGGGCATAAGGTTCCGGTCGAAGGGACGAGCGTGCCACGAGGCCCGAGAAGCTGGATACTTGGACGACTAAGATGTGGGTTTGGGCTTGTTGGTTTGGTGTGTTGTCGAAGAGAACAGCAGGTGGTCGAAACAGCTGGGCGGAAACGGCTGGGACCGTCAAGGGACAGAGAAGGAGAAGAGTGTCAGGGGGCCAGCAGAAGGATGGGAATGTTTGCGGCACGGGGGCATGGAGTTTTGAAGAAGGGACGTGGCAGGGTAGGCAGCCTTGTTCAGCTGCTTGGGGGGGGAGCACTCCTTGTCTGCCAGCAACCAGCTGAGAGGGTTGTGACGAAACACGCGACCAGAAAAGTGGGCCCTCCCGGCGGCATCTGCGGGTCGCATTCCCATTCAGCGGGGAGCGGCACTGCAACACAGAACCCTCAGCATATTTCCCCTCCCCCTCCCCCCCACGGCCCATCAGCCGGTTGGCCCAAGCGAAACCACGAGCGCGGCCTTCCAGTTTTTGGTTTGTCGTTGTGTTTCGTACAAGTATATGTATATTCATTTTCTATCTCGGATGCTACTCTTTTTGAACAACAACAGAACAGCATCTATCTGCCCAAAGACCGGCCGGCCGGCGGTACACAAATTCGCCGGACTCTGCCCGGCCATCCTTGACACTTGGCGGTGGCTTAGTGGGGACGGGCGGCAGTTGGGCCAGTTCCAAAAGGATACCGCCTTTTTGTCTGCTGAACAAACAAGGCAAATAGTGGAAACGCTTCCCATCTACAAAGGTCAAAGCAGAGCATCACCCGCCATCGGACCTGGCAGACTGATGTCGGATAGAGAGTCTCTCTGACTCTTCCACTGTAGAGTCAACCGGGGGCTTTGGGAGGGAAGAAGCTGCTGTGGATGTGTTGGCACCACACAACTAAACTCCTCGGTACAAACCGCCCCGGCAGTCAGCAAGGGTCTACCGACACTTTTTTTTGCCTTTGCAGCCGTTCCTGACAGCTGCAACCCCCAATCCGGCTTCGGGAGGCTTCATTGGCTGCCCTACTTTGTTTTAAACCCGATGTTGCTCTGTCAAAGGCCTGGTTTTCGGTCCGAAGCCGACCTATCAAACACCTAAACAAGACATCTGAAGCAAATCAAAACATTTCCAAATAGAAACAAAAGAACATCGTTTCTCTATCATCAAAACCCTAGTTCCCCCGAGATCGTGCTAGCGCAAGCAAAACTCCCGAAAGAGAAAAAGACCCCTGGTACGGCCGGGGTCTGATGCGGGGAGCGGCCCGCGGACGCCCAGTGGGATGATCTGGCCAATCACACGCTCAAAATGCCATCTTTGCCGGATCTGATTGGGCACAGCAGGTCCCAATCCATGTAGTGCATCTTTTCTCTGTTCTGTCGTTGCGGGGGTTGGATGCACCTTTTCGATAAATTCATGGTCACGAGGAGAGTTTATGAGCAGACTCACTCCCACGACTCGCAGACCGTCAATTGGCCCTCCCCCTCCCCTTCCCCCCCCCCCTCGTGTTTTCTCCGCATTTTGGGCAGCTTGAGAAATCGAGATGGCGTGTGTGCGTGTTGTGGGTGATTGTTTGTGGGTGATTGTTTGTGGGTGATTGTTTGTGGGTGATTGTTTGTGGGTGATTGTTTGTGGGTGAGGGGAACCAAAAATGGGGTTGCATCAACCAAAAAGATGCCGTGCGTTTTTGGGGTCTTTGCCCCCGACGATGAGAATGGAAGCGGAAGCTGCGGAAGGGTCCCTTTTTACATCAGGGTCTAGGACCCCTAGGGAAACTGTCAGTCCAGGACCCTGGGGAAACTGTCAGCCTAAGGCCGGAACCCGGACCGGAGTGTTTGTTTGCTGCTACCGAGCAGGTGCCACGCAGGTGCCACGCAGGTGCCACGCAGGTGCCACGCAGGTGCCACGCAGGTGTTGATCGTTATCCAGTTTATCAAGTTGATAAATCAACCGAGCTCAGCCCGCCACCGGTTTGGACTTGGCTGATGTTGGCTTGCTTGCTTTGGCAGAAGAAAAGAAAAAGCGCGCAAAAATGCCGGTAGTCGGATTGATGCAGGAGTCGGTCGGGCCTGCAGGGAGGGAGGGAGGGAGGGAGGGCTTGCACAGAATGCTTCTTGTCTGGAGAGGACCAACCACATGCTGCGGACTACGGCTGCGCCACCGCATGCTCTCTCCGAAGGAGAACATGTAGATGCTGTGGGTTGTCTGGCTACGGATGGAGGAAGAACTGCAAATGAATGTGGACACGGAAACAGGACAGAAGGCGAGGGAGTCACTGGACATTGGTCTCCCAAAAACCGCTGCAAGGAAAACACAAGGGACAAATCGAGATATGCTAGAGACACTCTCTGACTGGAGACATCGGGGCATCGAGGGGGATCGCAAGCAGGAGAACAGAACTTGGCACACTAGGTACGGATGTTGGGGAAGCTGATATCCGACATGCAGGTGTTCAACACAGTACAATTAGACGTCGGGCCATCAAACATGAGCCTTCCAAGACCAGCCACGAGATCTCAAAACAAGCACAAAAGCACTGTCAGACTCGAAATAGGCATCGAAAGCAGACAGCGAGAGGCATTCTGATCAGAAAAGAAGAAGCCCAGATTATTATTCCCACGCAACCATCCAGAGCCCGCCCGAAGCCAACCGCCTCAAGGGCGGGAGAAATAGCGCCCCATGGGCGAGTTAGGATCCAACATGAGGTTCAGGTGCGGCGGGTTGTCCTTGGTGAGGCAGTTGCCACAGATTTTGGGACTATACAGCAGAATCAGTCGACCAAGCATATCGAGGGACAAGCAAGGGGGAGAGCGAAAACACTCACGACTCCTCAAACTCCATAATCTTGGGCTCACACCTGGCAATTTTGCCATAGTGCTTGAACTTTTCGCAATACTTGGTCGCGAGCCAGCGCAGGTGGCCGCAGGCGAGGTACTCTCTCTGATCAGCGTTAGCACATGGGCCGTGGGGGCGTTCACGAGCGCTTGGTTCAACACGCGAGGAGGAGGGGGGCAGGAAGATTGTGGAACGAGAAACAGCACAAGCAAACGGACCGGACAGGACAGAGATGGAGACCTGCCCGGAAGCGAAGACGAGGAATACGGTACAGCAGAGGGACAAGATACAACAAAACGACAAAGCATGACGAGCATGATAACAGTGTGATGGGAGGAGGTCAACATCCACAAGAAAACAAAAACATAACAAAACAAGCGGCCGCGACTGGAATGGGACGACAGAACAACAGCCAGAAGGGCGAGAAAAAACCATACGAGAGCCAAGCAAGACTGGGAGAAGGAGAACAAAGATTTTGAGGGCATACCTGCTTGTACTCGCACATGATGGAAGATTATCCTGTGACCTGGTGTGGTATGGTTCAGGGTGCCTGAGTGAGTGGTGAGCGTTCGAGAGATTCGAGAGAGGTGTAGAGTCTGCTGAGCGAGAGAAGTGTTTGGGTTGTTGAGCGAGAGAAGTGTGTTTGGGTTATTGAGCGAGAGAAAAAGTGTTGACGGTCTAACGCGGGGTACTCCTTACACTCGATATTCAGGGCAAAGTCGGTCTCAGAGTCGCTCTGGAAGGAGAGCGGTGTTGAGGGGCTGTTTGAAGGGCGGTGGTATAAGGCGGTAAGGCGACGAGAATTATGACCAGCAACTGACCCATAAATGAGTGTTTGTTGGAAGGACGAGTGATAGAAGACACAACCGCTCTGGAGAAAGGTGATTCCCTCACACTCTGGACGACCGGACGTCTCCCTCCATTTATCATCATCAATATGGTGAGTGGGATGGAGGGGCTGATAGAGGGCGGCAGGATCGCCATGCCGGTTTCTTTTTCCGCCGAGACAGCGGATAGCCTTCCTGTTGGTGGATAGCTGTCAGAAGAAGCAACGCAAGCAAGGGAGAAAAAAAAACTTGAACTCAAACCGACTTGGTATGTGACGAAACATTTCACTCTGCCTCGCCCAACCGCATCGCTGGCTTTGTCAAGTAAAGACCACTCACCAATGATGTTTGATAGTATCACGAAGCAGAACTGAGACTCAAAGCCGATCAAGTCTTCTGGCCACACCATCATGACCACCCAGAGCAAGAAACAAACAAGCTCTTCGGGCCGTCATGGAAGCACTCGGCAAACTACTTCTCCGGACTCACATCTCACCTCCCCGTGGTTGCTTCTTCTTGCTGAGCTGAAAAGTGACTGGCGAGAAAGGGCGGCATGTCAAGTGCATGCCGACATGGTGCGCCGTGCTTGTTTCGGTTCAGGAGAGACGATCCGATACCTGCAATAACAGATAGCAACCAGCTCGGCCAGCTGTTTCGGACAAGTCATAAGGGTGCTCACCGCCGGTGCGCCTGCCTAGCTCCCCGTCGAGCTCTGAGTCGTTCGCGCTGGGACGGGCCACAAGACAAGGCGTTCTAGGTCTTGCGGTGCTCGGACACAAAACCTCCTTGCCTGCCGCTTCTCGCCACCTTGCTCTAAATGCGGTGGCTTTATGCTCAATGTCTTTCTCAGTCATGGGGCAAACGGCCAGCACGTGAAGGGTTGGCGGTGAGGTGCTACAGTGTCACGGCTGTCATCCGTCAGAACAAGGCAATTGTTGCACCAAACAGTCAACCATTTGGACGATGGCCAGTCCAGCTTTCATCACTGTCAAGCAAAGTAACCTTGTCTTCTTCCCTCGTTCACAAGTCTAGGCCGGCAAAGCTCACCTGCAAGTTCAAGCTTCAAGAAGCGTGGTGATGACCGATCAACCATCTGCTGATCTGCGCGCATTGAGCACAGTGGCGCAAACACAGCTATTCTTACTCTCAGACTTTTTGCTATCGAGTTCTCCTGATTTCGATTCCTTCGGCCCCAGTCACATTTTCCATGTCTCTTTCCCTCATTCTCTCACATCACCCAAAGAACCCCCCAGTCAGCCAACTTGGAGCACGCCATTGATTCGTGGTCGACACTTCCACGATTGCTTAGCGTGTCCCGACATAGGTACAAGGCAAGAAGAGAAAAATCAGTCTGTCGCGAAGGGCACTGCTGCATGGAATCACCTGGACAGAGCTTCTGGAAGGTTTGCCTTGCACGACTTCATCTACGATGGCTTTACCGCTGGAGGATACGGATAGCTGATGCGACGGGTGGTGGCATAAGGGCCAAGTGCTGACCATGCTGTGCTCTCACGCCGTGCAGACAACAAAAGATAAAGTAGAGAGAGGTATCTGTTTTTTTATATGATTCTTACATGCCTAACTGCAGACCGAGCCTAGCAAAACCTCTTGGCAAAGGTGACTCTCGGGCTCTCTAGAAGGAGTGTCTTGCCAAGGGTGGTGATACCTGCCCGTCTGAGGAGGTGAGAAGAGAGCTTGCGCAAAAGGCTTTCGTTCATACTCACCCACCGCTAGCAAGACTGTAGATAACAAAACCGACAGGAGGGTTCTACGAGAACTTGGAAGGTATGACAGTATGACGGTATGACCCAGCATGGATCTATTAAAACAATAGTCACCCCGAACGCGAGTGTACCACCTGCCAAGAGACTCCCTGTTGCTCAACAGTCCTCATCCCAGGTGTATCACCTGCCAAGAGGCTCACCGCGCCGCTGTTCGGTCTTCTCTCGTAGAAAGATTGCAGGTGTAACACTTGGCAAATCTGCTGTGAAAAAAGATGAAAATACCGAGTGCCGTCTTGGCGGGCTCTTTTTTCTTGTGTTTGTCATTTTCAGAGGGGTTGGGTTACTCAGAGGACAAGGCAGTGTGAAATGTGAGTCTTTGGGTTGAGATGGGAAGTCTGTATCAGTCATAGGTATTCCAGATAAGAATGACAAGGTAGGTACTTTAAGTGCTGTCGGGGTAGAGAAACCATCGTGGCTCTGTCAAGCTATTCTGTGTAGATAGGCTCATGTTTCAGGGGCGATGCTTTTGACGCGTGGATCACATACGCGGTCAATAACAGGGCTTGAAGCAGAACAATCCTCTGGTTCGTCTTGATTTGGTCCTGTATTCTGTATTGGGTGGGACACAAAACTTGGTAGCTTACGTCTGTGCGGTCTATCACAGAGGCCGAGTCGTTCAGTACCTATGCTATCACCTCGTCAGCAGCGGCGATGATTTGCTGTTCGCAGCTTCGGCGAGGCTTCAGATAGCTGGGTAGCTGTGAGCTGTTCTCGTGTAAAGCGGCAATAGTACTCGAAAGGTACTCAAGGGTAGTCTTGAGAGTTCTTGTGTATGTAGGTGGAACATAGAATGGCTCATGAGCTGATTGGCAGTATGGCATTTGTTCAGGGGTTCTGAGTTCGAGCAAACATATATCACTTCCAAGGCAATACATAGGTACTTTTTCCAAGTTCTGAGGAGTACAGCTATGACCACATAACAATGCTGTCTCAGTATCTTAAGTCTCAGGAGCAGGCAAGGTGTTGGGAGAATCGCTGACTACATATGCAGTGATCGTTATACCTGCATTAAAGACTCTTAACCGGTGACCACGTCTCGAGACTGGGGTCTTCTTCATTCTTGATCGAAAAAAACCAGGAAATAGTCTGCGAACAGGCCCAGGCCGACACTTGTGTTGTACAGCAGAATATTTTTGAGTCTGACCCCGAGAAAAGAGCAGCGCCTTTTTTGGTAAACCCTAGAAGGAAAAGGGGTAAGAGCAGTGCTCAAATGTAATGGAAGCAATGTAATGGAAGCAATGTAACGGAAGCAATGTTATGTTCTTTGAAGGGAACACATCCTTCCATAACAAACACCACAAGGTAGCCACCCAGAAGAAGAGATGTAGCTAGTAACTAACTAACTAAACAACACCAACAGAGACAAAAAAGAAAAGATAAACAAACACTCCCCTCGGACCAGGGAACCAAACCATTGGGAACTGTGAGGCTCGAACTCACGACCTCAGGATAACTCTGATGTTATGCAACCAGATCATATTTCTCCTTGTCATCAAATCTGACAATTTTCATATGAGACCTGCGCTCTTCCAACTGAGCCAAGCTCCCTGTTTTCCTGTCATGTTCTCCTCCCTTCAGAAACTTTTCTCATAAAGCTTTTCCCACTTCTCCTCACAACTCCCGAGTCAGTCCGGTAGACTCTCCCTCCCAAGCCCCCCAGGTGGAGAAAACCAGGACTTGTTCCCAGGATAGCGCCTCTTCTTCCCACCGGCATCTGCTCTTATCCAACCTCGTTGGCTTTTCTTGCCAACACGCAACCCCCCCCCCGTCCCCCCCAAAAAAGAAGACAGGGGCCAAACTCACCCAGAATGACTGGAGATCAAACCATGAAACGTGGTCGCGTGATACTCGACACTCCTTGTTCCCCCCTTTCCTGCCTCGCCATGCAATGTGTCAAGGTGTTTTGGACAGCTGTTCTTCTGTCTACCATCGACATCAACAATCAAACCTTGCGTGGGGGGGGGGGGGGGGAACACAAAACCACCAACACTTGCTTACTTATCCCGCTGAGGCTTCCTCAAATCTAACCTGACACGTGCTGCATATCTCAACCTTGATAGGGCCATTTTATATCCTTCAAAACCCCCTTCCAGAACTTCCCAGAAACCCGGGAAACCCATCACCTGTCTCTGAACGTCCACGCACCTGCCATGTACAAACTCACATGCATATATGCCCCCCCCCCTAACATACCGACCTTTGCCTACAGTGGGTTGGAATTGTACGTAAAAACAAAATCCTTTCACAGATCTGCAATCCTCCATCGTGACTAATCGGCCTTCTTTTTTTATTTAATTTTTTATTTAATTTTTTATTTAATTTTTTATTTAATTTTTTATTTAATTTTTTATTTAATTTTTTATTTAATTTTTTATTTAATTTTTTATTTAATTTTTTATTTAATTTTTTATTTATTTAATTTTTTTATTTCATTTTATTTTATTTTGTTTCATTATTCTTGATTAAATTTTCATTTTTTATGATTTTTTTTATTTTATTTTTTTATGTAGTTTTTGTGTTATTTTTTTTTTATTTTTTTTTTCCATTTTATGGTTTTTTATTTTTTATTTATTTATTCATTTATTTTTTATTTTTTACGTACTGTAGAGACCGAACAAAAGACGGCTAGCTATACATAAAACAAAATAACCGGACACCGGTTTCCCCCCCCCGGTCCCGTGTGTGCAGCCCCCACCACACTCCACCTTGAACAACAACATCACCATTCCCGGCTTCGGTGGTAGGCTGAACATTCATCACCCCATTCCCATCATCATCATCACCATCATCATCATCATCCATCGCAACTTCGGGGAGTCGGGGTCCCGGGTCTTACCCTGGTCCGTGGTTTTTGCATCTGCCGTGTTGTGGGATCCACTCAGACCCGCACCCGGAAGGAGGGGGGGAGGAGGGCCAAGGACTCGCTCCCGTCGCTCGCTCGTTCGGGCGGTTCGGACGGGATCGCGCGGTAAAGAGCGGCGGCGGATGAAATGATAAAACTTGTGTGTGTGTGTGTGTGTGTGTGTGTGTGTGTGTGTGTGTGTGTGGATATCTGATGGGTATGAGACACTAGGCTCTACGATGTGGAAAACCAGCATCACAAGGAGTTTCTCCCAAAGATGGCAATGGGAATAGTAAGGGTAAATGTCTCTTCTTGGCTGGTAGGTTGAGTGAAAAAGATGCAACCCAAGAAGTCTTGATGACCCTCTTTGTCAACTTGCTTGTTTGGCAAATTCAGATAACACAAGCTTCCACCAGTCGTGATCAAATCACAAAAGTACGTATGAAACCTCCACCCCCCCCCCCCCAAAAAAAAGAACCAAGAAACCGAAAGAATTGTGAATCGCGGCTTCTATGGTGGTTCGCTTTTCCCACAACGCGACAGAAAGGACGGCGATTTCAGACGCTTCCACGTAGCGCAGCAGCAGCAGCTGAATGGTGCCGCCGGTCAGCGGACCCGGCAAAGACGGCACGGCGGGAATAACAAAAGGAGCCCAAGGCCAGAGGGGGGCGCACGACTTTTCCGACAAAAGCTTAGCATCCTGTCTTGGGGACCACCAAGCAGATGGTCGGAAGCTTGTCGGGGTCACCTCGCGTCATCACCACCTCCGGCCACTCATCGGGCGTGCTTGGGGCGGCAGGGCGTTCTTTGGGGTCCTCGGGGGCGGGGGGGGGGGGTTGTTGGGGTTGGCTTCCAGCTGTGCAAACCTGCTCGCTACGTCAGCCGGCCTCCGGGTCGGCGAAAATATGATGGGGTGTGCCATCCGTCCCGCGATGTTGTTCCTCGAGGATCCGAGCACCTGGGCTACCGGTCTTTTTGGGCTTGGTCCGAAGCTGTGTCAGCATCCCATCTCGATATCCCAAGATCATATGTAAATGTCAAGAAAAAAAGGGGTCCTGGGTTGACCGTCTTGGCTTCCTTGCCAAGCGACGGAATACCGATGCCAAGTGGTTCACGGCGTCCTTGTTCGGCTGCAGGTACCGAACTCCTCGATAAGTTCCGCAACAGACGAATGTGAAAGCTTACGAATGCCCTGGTGTTTGCTGGCGTTGGCTTGGTCGTGGCAGAGGGAGCAAAAAAGCTGGCTAGCGGTCAAATGATGCGACTAGTTGGCAGCTAACTACAGCAAAGTATCCAGTACATCTGGCACTTGACGCCTGGGTCAGCCCAATCCCGAGACGAACCAGATAGGAGAGGTGGATGGCGGTTAGCCCTGTCCCAAACAACATGCAAACACACATTGCGTGCGGGATTTTCCATGTCTATCATGATGTGCTGGTCATGCTGGCTGAACTTCAACTTGCTGATATCAGACCATGTTCGTTGCCATGTTGGGAAAGTTCAGAGTGCCAAAGGCCGTCGTGGAACGCTTGGTTCCCTCTACCCTATTGCATGGTAGAGCCAATCAGACCGCCCAGACGGGGCAGGTTCCATGTCAGGGGCACTGGGAGGGCATACAGAGGTTTGAAAAGGGCAGGCTCCCACGAGCACGAGGGAACTTGGAATCCAAGATGGTCTCCCGTCCGTCACTTGTTCTCCATTGCCCAAGACGCAGAGGGGTGAGTTCGTTCTGGAGACGAGTTCACGCACCAGAGCGGCATCCACACGGCTCCTCCCATCCAAGAGGACGGAACACCTCCTCTTCTCCTTCCGTGCCCACACCCCCTCTCCCCATCATTCACATCTGCCATGTTTTGGGTCGTACTTGGGGAACGGATGGCTGATCAGGAAGGCCTTTGTACACCCTGAGCGCGGGGAAAAAAGACTCAAGCCACGAAGCATACTATCGCGGACACAGCAGGACGCATCCGTTGCCGTGTGAATCATGCGGGCTCTGACGAGGTCTTGAGAATACTGCTTCTCAATTGGCAACAGCCCATTGGTGTTTTTCAGTCGACCAGTCCTGAGCGGCAAGCCTCGACTGCCTTTGATGTCCCAATCCTGGTCGATATCGAACCCGACGTCGTTTGAAGAGCGGGGAAACAAAAGCAATGGAGGGGAGGGGAATGAACAAGCCTTTCTCGGCATCGCCTTGCAAGGGTGTCTGTCAGGCCTTGGGCTTGGGACAGGCCGACGCGAAAGAGCGAGCAGAGTGACGCGCCGGTGAGCGTCCAAGGATCGGTGAAGGCTTGCCCCTTTGCAGCACGATCGAGCATATCGACTCAAACCGAGACAGACGAGGCGCAAGAAAGCAATGCCCAGACGGGAGATCGAAACGCCAAGACAGTCTGACGAGCTTGGGAGTTATCTCGACCTATCCAAGCCGGTCGATGTGCCGCCTTGTGTCGCTGGACCACCGCGACCCTGCGGAACATCGATCTGCTGGCTGGACCGGGAGAAGAGTGAAGTTATGATGCTGATTATCCGTACCCGGTCTCTTCCGCTCTCCTACCACGCGGCAGATTTCATGGACGGCGTGATGGGCGTTTCGGCGATGGACTGTTGGCTGACGGGGCCGGAGATGTTTCTTCCCATGGCTGCTGAAGTGTGCGAGTGTGTGGCTGCCAAGCCGCTCCCCTTCTGACAGGGAAAAGAGGTCCGCATTTAGCAATTATATGGTAATAGCATTTTGCTACAAACTGCACGGGGCGGCAGGTGTGGTTGGTGGGCGGCAGAAAGTGTCTGTTGCAATTGACGTCGTTTTGGGAATGCTGCAGATGCAGTGCATCACAAGCGAGCCAGTCGATGGGAAATCATGGAGAAGGAACGTGGGGGAAGCGATAACAGGCTCCACTCGCCCTCGGAAAATCGAACGACGATTTTCTTTGGTGACGGGCTTTCCGTTTTGGGCAGAATTGCGTAGCTGGAGTTTGGTTGACCAGTTCTGCGCTCCATTGGAATGGATGTGGTGTCAAGGTAAGGTCCGGGATGGCTTGTGCGTCCGGCCGGTGAAGCGTGTTTGAAAAAGTAACTGGCGGAAACGGATGCCGAAGGGGAGGGCCGCTCGGAGAGCACGCGGTGACGAACGCCGAGCCCTTGGCAACGGCTCGTTGCGCTTGAGTACCTGACATGCCATAAGAAGGCCAGGTCGCCGCCGGGTTGCGTACCAGAATGCCCGATAGTTTGTGTCGTTGCCTACCACGCTTTTGTTCCATCAATTATTCCTTGCGTCACGCCCCACGAGCAGAGAGACCACAGCGGTCGTTGGAAGATGTCCCAGGAAGCTGGATATCTTAAGTAAGCAACACACGACAAGGTGAGACCTGAATTCGGATAACCGGGGCCCACTGTACGACGATAAAGCGGCCCCCCCCCCTCCCATCAATCGATCAACCGGCAACTCACTGGCCAGCTTGAGTGAGAATCTAGATTCCTGACGGGCTGAGAGAGGCTGCACAATGTAACCCGTCTGTTTCTGAACTTGAACCTGCCGTTTTCCGTGTGACGGGTTTGCTGAAAGAGGAGGCTGAACTTTATTCTCACGGCCGGCCTTGTGGGACCTGCTGGCGGCGGCGGAGAGTGCCAAATGTCGCGTGCTGACTTGCCCTGAGAATAAAGACAATCCACATTCAGTGCCATGACACAAGACAATGACGCCCCCAAATCCATTGATTGCAACCCTGTCCGTTTTCTTTTGGTCACTTTGTGTTCTTGAAGGAGCGATAACAAGTTTCCAACTGCAGCAAATGATGCAATGCCGCCGCAAGATTCCCGCTCTGTTTCTTCTGATCAACATGTAATCCCGACCGAGATCAGCCTTCGGCAGGTCGTCGGGATGCACTGGGATGTTGTCGGTTGTTGATGAAAGCTGTTCTTGAAGAGACTCGAGAAGAGGACACCACCACCACCAGCCTTGCCTTGGTGCCCACTAGCCCGGCCGCACAAGGGCAGGGTAAGCGGGGTAGCCTCCCCCCTTTCCCGTTAGGAGTGAGGTTATTCTCGCTGCAGTTCTGCTGAACAACGGGCACACCACCAGACGATGACGCAAGTCGGCCTTGCAGAGGTCTCAAGTCCTCGGCAGGGATTCGCTCAATTGGGAAAAGGGCATCCATCCGTTGCTTTGGTTCTCGAGGTTGGAGTCTCAAAGCTGAAAATGGCTGGCATTTGAAACATGCAAACGTGCTTTCTGGCTGCCCAAAATACGCGTACCCATTGCTAATCACGCTCAGTGTGTCTGATATCAACTAACGACATGTACAAGGTGAGGCCTTGAGGAGCCACAAGAAAAGGTAAGAAAGAGAAAAAGAGCCGAGATCATCGATTGCGTTTGTAAACGCAGTTCAGAGACCCCGCCAAGATGACAGTCCCGATGCAGCCATCGCGCTGGCAAAACCGCCACCCTGCTTTCCTCCGGGTATAGTGCAGTTCGATCTGCGATCAACAACATGGAACGCTCACAACAAAAGCCGACTCGCAGATGATATTGCGGCATATTTAGGAGGAGGGCTTGGTAATTCCTCGAGTCCTTGGCGCAGTGTATACGATAGGGTAGGTTTCAAAGCCGACTGCTCCGACATGCTCCAAGAGAGGGGGGTTCCTCTAATAAAAGAGATGGCACAAAGCGAGAAATCAAGATAGATACTTGGGCCAACAAGTGAAGCTATCCCATCCCGTCTCTCCGTCTGCGATTTCTAGAAAAGCCACGAGAAGCGGAACAGACGAACAAGGTAACAAATGTGCCCCGCCATCCACCACCACACACCCCCCCCCCCCCCCCCCCTCTCCCCGCAACAATTCCTCATCCTCGGCCTCTCGGCGCCTGGTGGGGGTGGAGCCTCCATGCCACCAGCGGAGTCTTTTGTGCCCGGTACGTGCGCAGGTTCCAGCCGCTGATGTCGTGCCTGTTGTCACGGGCAGGGGACTCCCCTAAGGCCGTTCTGGTGTAAGTTGAGATGATTTGAAAACTTTGAAGAAACGAAACGATTGCAAGAGACAGCCAAGAGATTTGTGTGATGATGTTGAGTACGAACAATCAGGGCATGACTTTCTCGACCTCATGGCGGCTCAGAACAGGCTAGGACTCAGCTGCCCAAACGGTTCAGGCCATGTGAGGTTATAAGCCGGCGGTCAGGAAGATGCTTTGCCGCTCTCTGTCGAGAGCACTTCCTACAACCTGGGCGCTTGGGCGAGGGCACGAGAGAATGACTGCAGCATCAC